CATATAACAAAATTAACCTTAAATTTGTATCATTAAATTATGCATTACATTTTAAAAGATCTGTATAAACACAATACCTAAACAAGAAGACAAGTATACATATCATAAAATTTACCTTAAATTTGTATCAATAAATGAAAATCCATTCTAATACAAAGTATTATTTATATACTATAATTTCCCTTTTATCTTTAAAAAGATATTGGTTGTGATCATTAACCATTTAACAACCCCATTTAAATGAAAACAAAAATTTATAAATAATATTTGTGAATTTGGGCATCATTCAATCCAAACTACTTCTTGCTGGTTGGGGGAGATGTTCATAACTTGGGGATCATGATAAAACACAGAAACCTGGCAGGCACTTATTTTTGTAGTCTGCAAGGCTGCATCATCTCAGCTGTTTTAGATGTTGGGTCACCTGGGACACTGTCTCAGGGGGTCTTGCTTCACCAAACCATAATAGTCTGGAAGGAATTCATAGCTTTCTATTTTCTGTGGAAACACAAGCAAAATCTCTTTTCTCAAGTAACCTGTCCTTATATTTAAATTTAGAAGTCAAAGCATTTTTAAAATATGTAAGTTGGATTAATTTAGCAGCACCTATAATCAAATGTATTTTAGCAGCTGTAGCTCTTTCCTCAGCAATCAAACAACTTAAAGACAACAATATAAACATATAGTATCCAGACTCTGTATTTTCCAACTTTACCTGGCTTTTTATTATTCTATTTCTTTTACTTCCTTTTTTTCTCTTTTCCTGAGACAGGGTTTCTCTGTGGAAATCTGCCTGCCTCTGCTTCTGGAGTGCTGGGATTAAAGGCGTGTGTCAGTATACCCAGCTACTCATTATTTTTTATTTTCTCTCTCAAACCTATGTATATTTTTTCTTTAATGAAAATCTGTATCGTTTTCTAATAACATGAGTCATATGAGCTCTCTAACAGCAATGGTTTTGGCTGCTATGTAAATGAGGAATTTGCTCTTAAAAGGAGTCTTGGCATGTCTCTTAATGCCTGGAAAACAGAGCTCACCCAAGAAAATGCTGCTATCAAGAATCTGTTGTTGTCTCTGTTCTTTTTGTTTCAAAAATCCCCTTTTAAGATTTTGTGAAGTTTTTATGTGGAAGTTCGTAAAACCATGTGGGCGCCATTTGTAATGATAACTTTTTCGGATGGCTGCTTGAGTTCCATTGCCACATTAGGGCCCCCAATTAACACACAGAAATCAATATTAGTTTCATTGCTGCTGGTCAATGACTAGGATTTCTTATTTGCTAGCTCTGACTTAAATATCAACCATAAGCATTAATGTATACATTTTATAAAGACTTATCTATGGAGGATGCCACTGGTGACTCTGCTCTTTACTACATTTCCCAGAATCCTCCTTGACTCTCAGTCCCACCTATCTTGCTTCCCTATTCGCCAAGAGTGCTTTATTTATCAACCAAAAAGACAAACATATACACAGATTGACTTCCCCCATCACCTCAGGAAGAAGAGAGCTTTACAAGGTCCATCATGGAATCTTGATGGACCAAGTCTTGTGAAGAAATGATGCAGGTAGCCACTGTGACTGTGAGTTCATGGGTACAACAGTAATGCTATGTTCATGCATAAAAGACAGTTTATAACACACTTACCTCCTCCATCCTTCAGCACTTATATTCCTTCTACTAGTTCTTGTCCTGCATTTACTGTCTTGAAAGGGATGACATATAAAGGACCCAGTACACGATGGCCACACAAAAATTCTCAGAACATTGACCAGGTATGAGTCTGAACTAACCACTGACTACAGCAAAGGAAAGCTTCTCTGAGGCTGGCAATGGGACTAATCTATGGGTACAAATATTGATATTTAGAAGGCAGTTTGACAAAATGCTAAATAGCAATAGGTCCACAACCCCCAACACACCCAGGGACTGTTCCTAACCTGAAAACTTTCTAGCCTATCAAAATATGACTATGAGCTATCATAAATTCCAAAAAATACTAATTTATAAAGGTTGTTGGAGAAAAAAATTAAAATAGCATTTTGAAATGGAAATTGTTCTGGTCTGGGGTTCATTTAAGGAGAGAATACGACTTGCCTCACATTTGTGTGAGCCTCTGAGATCAATGTCCAGCACAAAAAAAGAAAGGAAGGAAGAGAAGGGGAAAGAGGGGGGAGGGAGGGAGAGAGGAAGTAGACATAAAAGGAAATAAAGAACCAAAATCATAAACTGATTTAAGTCTTTTTTAATACTATGTATACAGTGTTCTGCCTGTATATATGCCTGAACACTAAAAGAGGGCACTAGATCTTATTATAGATGGTTGTGAGCCACCATGTGGTTGCTAGGGCTTGAACTCAGGACATCTGGAAGTGTGGCCAGTGCTTTTAAATCAATGAGCAATCTCTCCAGCCCCTGATTAAAGTCTTTTTAAAGTCAAATTAAAATTTTTGTTTATAAAGTAGGCAGCTAGCAAATATCCTAATATATATGTATCACCCACAATAGAAAATACATACACATTTATGGAAATATTTCATAGGTCTCTTCCAATTTATTCTACTGTCATCATGAATGGTGTCTAACACTGGAGTCCAACTTGTTCCTAATCCTGTAATTCATTTGTATTTGACAATTCTATGTACTGCATATTTTAAAACCATATGTACATGTCTTTTTATTGTTTGAACATTTCATCTATGCATATAATATGTTTTAATCAAACCCATCCTGAAATCCCTTGCTTCTGATTGCCTCCATTCCCCATCATTTATCCCTCCCAAATTCTTGTGCACTTTTTATAAATCCACTGAGTCCTCTTAGTGCTGTTGTATATGCTTCTGTGTAAGACAGTCTACTGAAGCATGGGTAGCCTTTCAGGGGTCACATCTCCTAAGAAAATTGACTCCCCCTTCCCCAGCAGCCATCAATTGCCTATAGCTCCTTGAATAGGGGGTGGGACTTCATGAGCCCCTTCCTTGTCCATGCTAGGATTTTAGCTATTTTAATCTGTTTTAGTTTTAATAATGAGTCTTCACATTGGTTCATAAATACCTTTAATAAGTTTCTCATCTGGCCATTTCCAAAAGAATAATTCCTAGACAAAATTCATAATATTTATGACTACAGAAATTGCTTTTTTGTAACTTTTAATTTTTTTTTTTGAGAATTCCATATGGGTATTCTTTCATTTCCACCTCCCCCTGAAACTCCTCCAGTATCATCCCCCAACACTGTTTCAAATTTATGCCATTTCATTTGTGTGTGTGTGTGTGTGTGTGTGTGTGTGTGTGTGTGTGTGTGTGTGTGTGCGCGCGCGCGCGCGCGCTCTGTCGGGAGCCAAGAATTATGCCATTAGAGGATTTCTCAGGGGTCCAAACCTCTGGTTCAGTAACCAGGAGTTCAGGTCTATATTGTCATTTGCCAATGCTAGCTAATTTGCTATTGAATAGCATAGCCTCAATGGAGAATGCCTCCTAGTTTGCATCTCTACAGAACTAAGCATTTGAATAGGCTTGCACCAGGGTGGAGAGCTAGGTGTACTTGACAAGTGAGTACAGATAGTTAGGAGGTATCAATCTACAGAAAGGGAGATGGTAGAGAGAGATCTGCTAATAGGGTCCAGGAAGATGGAAGAAAAGCCATCTCAGGGTCAGGGAAGCACGGTTAGGAAACAGTCAGAAAGATGCTGAATAAAGAAGAGACTCCAGTTTTGCAGCATAGAACTGAGAGCTCTCTAAAGATGACAAGATGCTTATGTTTGGTTTTTATTGTCGTTGGGTTACTAGGAATTCCCAAGTCCAGTCTCCCCTACTCAGGCCAGACCTCATGGCCTCTGTGGTCTGGGACAGAGACATGCTGGGCCATGGCAGTGCTCACACACTGAATATTTGGGATCAGATAGCCAATTAGGGGATTCATCCCTGGAGAAACTGATTTCCCTTCTCTTAGCAGCATCAATTGCTTGTAGCTCTTCGTCCAGGAGTGGGGCCTTGTGAATGTCCCTCATTTATATTTACATCAACTGCTGTTATCTTTATACAATGTTGTTTAGGCACTCACATTGTTAAGATTCAAGGGGTGCAGCTTTCCTTTCACATCTAAAAGACTCCATCTAGCGTGCAGTATCCTGGACATCTGGCTCTTATAATCTTTCCTCTACCTCTTCTGTAATGTTCCCTGAGCCTTAAGCGTACGAGTTGCATAGTAGAGTCATCAACTGGGGCTGAGTAACACATGACCCCTTACTCTCTGCCTTTTGATTGAAGGAACCAGCTTCCCTTTTGGCAGTCATAACAGCCGAACACGTGCTTGCCATAAACCTACCTTAGTCACTTAGAGGTCAGATGCCTGTCTCGTGACAAGGAACCAATCAGAAGTTAGCTGGTGGCGCTATGTTTTACGACCACACAGCAAT